CCTTAGGAGCTGGTCTTGTGCAGCGCATATCAAACTTTACGTTCCTCGTTTTAACTCTCCACCTCTTAAGCATTCCCATCTATTCCTATTTGTATATTCTTCTGTCCCACGGAGAAATTGCCCGTGTAACGTCTTTTCCCTCCACTGTGTTCGTCTATCCTTCTTTCTTTCCTTGACCAGCACCGTTGTTAGTCTTTTCGCAAATTTAAGTTATGTAACTTTTAATAGTTGCTCAGGGCTTTCGATGATGTACTTGCCAATACTTGTAACTTCTTCCTCAACGCAATTTCGAACACTTATAAGTCCTCTACCTCCTAAATTTCTAGGGATATAAAAGCTTTCAACATTTGACCGAGGATGAAAGCCAGCATGCATTGTCAATAACCAAGTCTTCGATGGTCCAGTTAATCGTACCTGCACTATACCTTACAGTTGCCACAATCTATGTGCAGATTGCCTTGATACCATTCCCTCTACTCTGTTAATATGTTCTTGCTCTGTTCTTTCCTTCATTTCCTGGTGGGATATATCACCTCATTCTACTATTCCCAAATATTTATAGCCTTCTATCCCAACTTCGCCTTCTCACTGATCTATTCCTTCATATTTGCATTTTTTTCTCCTTTTAAGGACTAAAACTCCACACTTGTCAATGCCAAAGGACATCCCTATATGCTCTGTAACTAACTTGATTGTCCTCACGAGAAAGTATTATCATCATTACTATTGTCATTATTATCATTATTATCATTATTATTATTATTATCATTATTATTATTATTATCATTATTATTATTATTATTATTATTATTATTATTATTATTATTATTATTATTATCATTATTGTTATCATTATTATTATTATTGTTATTAATATTATTATTACTATTAGCGTTATTAACTTTATTATTGTTATTAATATTATTATTACTATTAACGTTATTATCTTTATTATTGTTATTATTATTATTATTGTTATTATTATTATTATCATTACTATTGTTATTATTATTATTTTTATTATTTCTATTACTATTATCATCATCATTTTTGTTGTGAATTTTCTTTTGGCTTTAGGCGGGTCATCCCGCAGGCTTCCGGGCCGCCTGTTCCCCTGACACTACGGATCTGTATAAAAAAAAATCTACGGACGCCTCCGCCCTCCTATTTTTACCTTTTTGCCTTCGGTAAATTCACCTTGGCTTTGTTTTTCTCCTCATGTTTTCTCGTGTTTTCTTTCACTTTTTCGTACTTTCCTGTCTTTTCTTTCTTTTATATGCCCTTTTTATGTAGTTTTATTATTCTTTTTATTTTATGAATCTTTAAGCTTATTTTAAACTTACCAAACACTAATAAATGTAATAAACTGCATAATGGGTTAAATATCACCAAACGCGGGAAGCCACCTGTGCAAAAGGCCAAGCCATGTCGGTCAGAGAGAGAGGGGCTTTTATCTTGTGTGGCGACAGACCTTTACATTATTAGCTGGTTGACTGGTGTTTCTCATGCTGTGGCGGGTTACTTCTGTTTTATCAGGTGAGCGTAGGGTGTGTTGTCCTGTATATTAGTTGTGTTCGAAATAATTGTGCGAAATAAATATATGATATGGATAATCTTTTATATGTTGCCGTTTTAGTCAGCCCGTGATGAAAATGTATTGTTCTTTTTATTGTGACTGCGGGATCACTTTCAAATCACGTGAGAGTCATCACCAAAATACGCCAAAGCCACATGGACATTTCCTGTAGTTGGGTAACACGCTACCAAACCAACATCTCCAACTCTACGGAGTTTGATTATCCACTACAATTATTATTATCATTATTATTATCATCATTATTGGCATTGTTATTGTTGTTATCATTATTATTATTGCAACTATTTGTACCATTATTATTGTCATTATCATTGTTACAAGTGCCATCATTATTAGTGGTATCATAATTACTGCTATTATTGTTATTCAATAATATCATTATCATTAACATTGTTATCATTTTTATTATTATCGTTAATAGTGATAGTAGTAGTAGTTGTATCAGTATCATTGTCATTATCATTATTATTGTTATTATTATTATTATTATCATTATTATCATTATTATTATTATTATTATTATTATTATCATTGTTGTTACTATTATCATTATCATTATCGTTATTTTAATATCATTATTATCATTATTACTATTATTATTATTATAATTATCATTTGTATTATTACTACTTTTATTATCACTATCACCATATGTGTGTGTGTGTGTGTGTGTGTGTTTGATTAGATGCATGTATGCTTTATATGGTAAAAATGAGTATATGTGTAAACCGAGTGACTATGCCTGCATGCGTGCGTCAATGTAAAAGTAAGGGTGCATATGTTCTCATGCACATAACGCATGAACGCATTACACGTATGCATGTAAGGACGTATGCACCCACGTCATTAGTGCAACTACGTGTCCACCATGATTGCAAGAGCCTCGCCTGCCTTCAAACGGAGCGCCAGCCGTGCCCTTGACGCGACACCTTGCCATCGCTCGCCAACCTCCGCCATTGGAGACTCAGAGCCAGTCGCCTAAATATACTTCCTCCGCAGAACCACTTGTGAGCGTTTGTTTCCGAGGACAACATGGGTGTGATTAGGAAGCTTCAGTCAAGGGCTAAAGTGATCAGCTTTAGCGAGGAATCCGTTAATTCGTAAGTGTTGTAAATGATGGGGAAAGGGTGAATGTTTATGTAGGTTAGTAACGTCATCTCGTCTGGTCTTTTCAGGCTTAATGTCAGCTCTTGAAGAATCTTTTAAAATGCGTAAATGTAACTACGAGATCACTGATTTATGAGATGCATTTATGTTTGAATTGTCGCATAGCTGTACGTGGAAGTAAATAGAACAAAGTTTTTTTTTTTGCATAGTTGTTATATAATAACTGCAGCCGCCCCTTTCATTTTCACTTTTTTATATTTCATTCTCATTGGAAAGACGATCCTGATCCATGTCCTTGACAGCGTCTTTACAGTTATTTCACTATGAATATTTAATGATTTTTTTGCACCATGACAACAGTATTCTTCCCTGATAAGACAACTACATACTGTGATGCAATAATGATATTGAGTTCAGAAATGTCTTACTTTGTCTTAATGTTTGTCTTTTATGTTTTTTCCATGTATATTAGTTGTTCTTTTTCGGTTATTGAATACGTGTCTCATCCCTTGTATTCCTCTCTGTTTAGGAAAGTGATGCAAGGGACACTTGATAGCAAGATATGTGCTCTGAATCCTATTCCAAAAATAGGCCTAATCAGGTGAAATGAAGGTTAGTTCATGGAGAAAGTGAAGAAAAAAAACAACTCGTTTCTTTTATACCCAGATTACTGATGATTTTCCCCCTCAGATTTAATATTATTATTATTATTATTATTATTATTATTATTATTATTATTATTATTATTATTATTATTATTATTATTATTATTATTATTATTATTATTATTATTATTATTATTATTATTATTATTATTATTATTATTATTATTATTATTATTATTATTATTATTATTATTATTATTATTATTATTATTATTATTATTATTATTATTATTATTATTATTATTATTATTATTATTATTATTATTATTATTATTATTATTATTATTATTATTATTATTATTATTATTATTATTATTATTATTATTATTATTATTATTATTATTATTATTATTATTATTATTATTATTATTATTATTATTATTATTATTATTATTATTATTATTATTATTATTATTATTATTATTATTATTATTATTATTATTATTATTATTATTATTATTATTATTATTATTATTATTATTATTATTATTATTATTATTATTATTATTATTATTATTATTATTATTATTATTATTATTATTATTATTATTATTATTATTATTATTATTATTATTATTATTATTATTATTATTATTATTATTATTATTATTATTATTATTATTATTATTATTATTATTATTATTATTATTATTATTATTATTATTATTATTATTATTATTATTATTATTATTATTATTATTATTATTATTATTATTATTATTATTATTATTATTATTATTATTATTATTATTATTATTATTATTATTATTATTATTATTATTATTATTATTATTATTATTATTATTATTATTATTATTATTATTATTATTATTATTATTATTATTATTATTATTATTATTATTATTATTATTATTATTATTATTATTATTATTATTATTATTATTATTATTATTATTATTATTATTATTATTATTATTATTATTATTATTATTATTATTATTATTATTATTATTATTATTATTATTATTATTATTATTATTATTATTATTATTATTATTATTATTATTATTATTATTATTATTATTATTATTATTATTATTATTATTATTATTATTATTATTATTATTATTATTATTATTATTATTATTATTATTATTATTATTATTATTATTATTATTATTATTATTATTATTATTATTATTATTATTATTATTATTATTATTATTATTATTATTATTATTATTATTATTATTATTATTATTATTATTATTATTATTATTATTATTATTATTATTATTATTATTATTATTATTATTATTATTATTATTATTATTATTATTATTATTATTATTATTATTATTATTATTATTATTATTATTATTATTATTATTATTATTATTATTATTATTATTATTATTATTATTATTATTATTATTATTATTATTATTATTATTATTATTATTATTATTATTATTATTATTATTATTATTATTATTATTATTATTATTATTATTATTATTATTATTATTATTATTATTATTATTATTATTATTATTATTATTATTATTATTATTATTATTATTATTATTATTATTATTATTATTATTATTATTATTATTATTATTATTATTATTATTATTATTATTATTATTATTATTATTATTATTATT